GGGCTCCCGGGACACCGAGGTCCTGCGGCCGGGCTCCCGGGACACCGAGGTCCTGCGGCCGGGCTCCCGGGACACCGAGGTCCTGCGGCCGGGCTGTGCACTTTTCTGACCATCTTCCCACCCAGGCCCACGGGGGGCCCTTGACGCTCACCGCTCCCACCCCAAACCCGGCACCTGCTGCCACCACCACGTGACACAGCACAAACTGCCCGCCACCCCGGGTCCCCGGCGGCTGAGGCACTGTCGATTTTTAACCGTTTCTATCTCGGTGTGGACTCTTCATGCGTGTTTTATACACTTCATTTCGATACTTCAGGAAACATGCAACATTTTTTTAAAAAGCAAAAATGGTTTTTCTACTTCATTTTTGGTTTTTCCTTCCCCTTTTTAGGGTCAGAGTATATTTATTTGTAGGACGCCTTTTTTGATAGACTCTGAGGCTGTTGGGGGACTTTGAATTTCCTTTTCCCCCAAGCCTCTCTCTGCCAGGTGAATTCCTCTCTGCCGGGTCAGAGCCGGGGTGGGCTTGGTCCCCAGGACTTGGTGATGGAGTCCTCTTTCCCCCCGGCCCCCTTTGGCAAGCACATCCCCCCACCCCAAACACTTTTCTAAACATTCACCCCTTGGTTTGTCCATGTCATTGAAGCTTCATGGGTCTGATGGGTCCGGCTGCGCCACGCCCGGTCGCCTCAGCTTGTGTGGAGAGCAGTTACAGCCTGGGGCTGCTGGCCTGTGAGGCAGAGGGTTCCTCAGGCACTGGTGAGTCAGGTCCCAGTGGAAGCACTTCCTTCAAACTGGGAAGATGTTTCTGCCATGTTTAGGGGTCCCTGGACGATGCAAACATGCTTGGTTGTTCATCAAAAGATTGGAGGTTCTCGACCATCCAGCCCTACCTTAGAGAAATGCCTGGTGCTCTCTCCCAACAAGCTCCGGCCCCGAGAGCCCAGTGGACACACATGAGACTCCCTGTCAGTTGCCTTGGGGTTTGGGTCTTTTTAAGGGTCCAGGAAGCGGCTTCTTCTGAATGTAGCTGACCTGCTGGTGTGAAAAGCGGACGGAAGAACAAGGGATGGAGCGAGTGATGGGTCCCTGGTGCGGAGCACACCCCCATCCCTGTGCCCACAGCTCTGCCTCCCTGGTCACCAGAGTCAAGGACTGGCATGGGCACAGCTTGGGGTGAAGGCAGGGTGTCCCCGTGGTGTGTGTGGGCTCCGATCCCATGTGAGTCAGAGGCAGAGAGAAAGGAGCTGGTTCTCAGAATCATGGGCCGTGAGGCATCCCATGCAGTCTTTGTGGTCACCCCATTTCACTGCATCTCTGGGGAGTGATGGGAACGGGGGCAAAGCAGGAGGCTCTAGGCAGCCACCTGCTTCCTGAAGTAAAGCCTCCGGGTCTGTTGGGGGATGGGAAGGGGAGGAGAAAGGAACCCTGTGCATCCCTGAGGTGAATGGGGATCTGTGTCAGGGGCGTCTGAGTGGAGACCATGGCAGATAAAGCCAGTGCAGGAAAGCAGAGTGAGGGAAAAAGTCATTTACTCATCTCGAGACTGAGCGTGCTTCCCTCTGCCAGGACTGACACTGAAACAGACCACCTTCCCCTCCCGGCCTGTGGGGTCCTGCCCACTCTGTGGTTGGGGTGCACATGCCAGCCAGGAACTGGGGGATGGGGGAGACCTGCAGCAGGGTGACAGGACGCCCAAGTTGTCAGGCACAGAAGGGACCCGGATGCAGCCACTCAGGGTCACTGAGGGCTACAGACGCATCCAGACCTGTTCGTTGCCCAGAGTCGAGCCCACCGTGGTCATGAAGGAGGTTAATGAGCGAAGATGTTCTGGGGAGGACCCAGGCCGCGGCCTCACCTCCCTGGGGTCTGCGCATGACGGGGCTTTTCCAGGGTTTTTTAAAGACCTGAATGTAACACCTTCCAGATATTTTCCGTAAAGAGAAGGTGAAGCCTCCGAGAAGCAGACTTTCAATGGATGCTTGTTCCTCCTGATCGCGTTCTCTCTTCTGTTGTATCTTCATGTCGGTGTGGGCGCCCAGAACTGTGAATGTATATAGTCTCCGTGTCAAAACCCCTTGTTTGTGAGATGGGGGCTCAGAGGTGTGGTCTGCGGGCGAGGCCCCCACGGTGGCCTGGCTGGGCCCGGGGACTCGGGGGACAGTCGCCATGGGAAGACCTCTGGATTTGGTTCTCAATGGAATAAATAAACTGTACAATCTTGGATCCTTGATGCTGTGTTTCATTTTGTTTTGTTTTTATCGGAAAGATAGTAGCAAGCATCTCTGGGCCGTGAGCCAGGGCGTTCTCCATAAGAATCCTTTGGTGTCGTTCTGGAATGTTCCAAGACCTCCATGATTGAACTTCTGTGAAGAGCCTCCGTGGACAGCAGAGGGAGGCTCTGCGGTATTTCGATATTGTGTGGACAGTGGCAAACATTTTAACAAATCCCAATGCAGCGACTGTTTGCCTGCCCCCGGAGTTCTATTTGCATAATCCCTCTATATTAAACACATAGACTTCAGATGTATTCGGTTAAAGAAGGAGGGAGGTGTGTGTACATTTGTGTTATTAAATCAGTAACAGATTTAAAAGTAGAAGAAATAGAGCAATTGTATTATGCATTCTCCCAAAAATTTTTTTTTATATGAGAAGTCAACACTAAGTAGTTACCACCTTCAAAATTCAAGTGTGTGTGTAAAAATATATACCAAAAATATGTCCCCAAATAGGTAGTTCACCTTTTCAGGGCATCCAACTATACACTGTGGTAACAGGAAAGATTTTTGCTTTGTTTTTCGTGCTTTCATGGATTTGCTGTTAGAATGTGCTAATAAATAAGTATTGCCTTTGAAATTGATTTTAAAACGCGTCCACACAGCCCGTTGCCATCAAGCCGGTTGGATCAGACAGGGCCGCAGAACTGCCGCTTTCGGCTTCTGAACTTGTGACCCCGCAGGTGCAGGCCGCCTTCCCCTCAAAGCATCAGATGGAGTCAGGCCCCTCAGCTTTCAGTTAACGTCTATGTGCGTCACCAGCACTCACCTCTTGAAATTCGTTAAATATGTGTCCCTTTTTCCCCAGTAAAGGCATAAAGTTCTTTTACATTTGAAGCTGGATTGGATGGCTATATATTGCTTAGACTCAAAAGGAGTTGGTACCAGAGCCAGATCAGAGGCCAAGAAGGGGCTGGCCTGGGGTGACAGGCTGTCCGATTACTGCCATCATGTCAGAACCACACTGACCCTCCAGCGAGCTTCCAAGGCTGGAAAACTCAGGGGCACCGGCTTAATCTTTGTCGTGCAGAGACCTGGTGGGCTCAAACCAATAGAAGTGCGACTCCCTACAGCCGAGGCCCCAGAGTTCCCTGATATGCTATGCTGTTGTGTACTGTCGAGTCAGAACCAACCCACGGCTGGCTTTCCAAACTTGAGGCAGGAAACTGCATGGGAATTGACTGCCCATCTTTCTCCCATAGAGCACCTGGTGGATTCGAACCATGTACCTTTGGATTGGCAGCACCTTACCAGAGCTTCCCTATGTTGGCTGTGTTGTTTTACTGTAGGGTCAGAACCAACTCATAGCTGACCCTCCAGCAGGTTTTCTGAGGCAGATAATCAGAAGGGAACAGATTGCAAATCCTTCTCCCACGGATCAGCTGGTGGCCTCGAACTTTGTGCCTTTGGGATTGCAGTGCAGCTTCTTGCCACTAGGCCACATTGCCAATAGCACGGTGAAATAGGGTGCATGGCAGGACAACAGGATGAGGGTGTTTGCATGCTTGTTAATGAAAGGGAGGAGGTCCAGAAAATTCCCTTTCTTGAGGTTTATATTCGTAAAGCACATGGATATATGTCTGCTTGGGGTTTTCCCCTCCTTGCCCCTCTCCCCATCATGGCCCTGGGGTGTGGAAATCAGATTTGTTCCTCACTCATTACTTTTCAAGAAGACAGTAGCAGCCCTGCTCAGTCCAAACCCACCCTGCCCTTGAGTATTGCCAGGCAGAGGGCACGGGGCAAGGGGACAGAGAGAGACATACACGGGGTCTTGACTGCCCTGTTCAGAAGTAGAATGCATGGCTTCTGTTTCACATGCGCAGGCCAGAGGGATCCACATGGCCCTCACTGACCTTGGCTGGTGTGTCATCCAGCACAGAGGACAGTGACACACTCTGCCTTCCAGTTAGCAGGGGTCACAGCCCTGCCCACCCTCCCTGTTGCATCACAGATGAGTCTTTTTTTCTGTAAAATAGCACCAAGTGTTAGTCCGCAGGACAAAACACACATTATACTCATTACCCTCTGCAAGATTGCCAGGCTGCCTCCCAGTGACACCCTCAGTGTTACCAACCTCAGTAGTACAAGTCATGCCCCCACATTCTGTCATGCTACCTGCTGCTAAAGAGATGGAGTACCCCCTAAAGCCAGGGAGACCCAAATGTGAATCACAGTGACTTGGGACTGTTCAGGGAACCAAAGAAATAAAACCTTATCAACTGTGAACCCAGACGTCGAAAGGAGCTCAAAACCCTCAAATGTGGTGGTGGGGTGGGGGGTGGTCGTGGGGAGTGTCAGCGAGTCAGAACCAGCCATTGCTGATCCTCCAGCAGGTTTTCAGGGGCAGGAAACCACATGGGAGGAGATTGTCCACATTCCTCCACCCAAGCAGCTGGTAGATTTGAACTATGTACTTTGGGGCCTTTGAGCTGTGGTGCTGGAGAAGAGTGTTGAATATACCATGTACTTAACTGCTAGGAGAACAAACAGGTTTGTCCTGGAGAGGGTGAAGCCTGAATGCTCCCTGGAGGCAAGGATTCTGAAGCTTCGTCTAACATGCTTTGTACATGTTGCAAGGAGGGACCAGTCCTTGGAGAGGGACATCATGTTTGGGAGGGTGGAGGGACAGCACAGGAGGGGAAGACCCTCGATGAGATGGATTGATTCAGTGACTGGGGTGGTGGGAGTGAATGTGTCAGAGACAGGTTGGCATAGGATAGAGCAGGATTTAGGGCTCTTGTACATAGGGTTGATGTGAGTCGCAAGTGACTCGATGGCACATAACAACAACAACTTTGGGGTTGGCAGCCCAATTCCTTACCACCAAGCCATC